GTAGCAAATCCTTCAAGGATTACCCCTTACCTGTGGTTTAATAAATTTATTTTTTTAACCTATTAAAATTTTTCACTTTGGTCTGCGCTATCAGGCAGCACTAAAAATCTGTTATTTTCTTACAAGATTACACTTTTATTCATGTTAATCATCGACTGTTTTTATATTTAGATTCAACGAACAACTTAACAAGCAGTGCCAAACAGGTGGTCAGTCTTGCAGTGAGTTCAGGGAGGGATGTTTCTGCCCGAAGGGAACGACTCTGTTCAGTTTAACCTCGGACGTCTGTGTCGCTGCCTGTAAGAAAGTTTTCTGTTGACTTTTGCTGATCAATAAATTCTGTATCCTTATGGCTGAATATTCAGGTAATTTATTTGTTTTTTCACTAAAGGTTGCATTGGCCCTGGTGGCAAACCTCAACATGTAAATATTACAATTTATTATAAATTTTAATATTACTCACAAAGTGTCTGTAACTGCAGTGACACTTATTTTTATTTCTTCACCACACAAACAGATTGGTGATATGTGGCAAAGTGACTGTCAGCAGTGTGTTTGTGATCAACACTCTTTGAGTACGGTGTGTGAGCCCATTACCTGCTCCCCACCTGAACCAATAAATTGCACTGAGGAAGGTGACGTGTTGGTGAACAAAACTGTTGAATGTTGCCCGAAACTAACATGCGGTGAGTGATTTTGAACACATCTATTACAAAATGTACTTTAACAGGAACAGGTGAAGAAACATGCACTCCATCAACAGGCAAAGTGAGAGAGGTCATAAATATAAATATTAATTAAAAAAACAAGTGCATAGGTACATGTCTTAATGATAATTACATTAATCTCAAGGCTTATTGTTTAGATTAGAATTAGTCAAGGTGTCTAAAAGATATATTTATAATGATTACTGAAAAAAAGCATACATTTTCAACAATTGACAAAGTTCTTGTTTCACACTAATATTTCTTTGTTTTTATATATGATCATCCACTCCAAAATCTACCCCCCCCCATAACAACAACAAAAAAACTATATTGCTACGAGTGACAGTGCCTCTCCAAAAATAAAAATAAAAAAACCATGATGGTTTCCCTTTAAAATGAGTCAAATTCTCTAAGCAACACTAAATCAACAAACTGAATCTATAAATAATGTGAATGAAATGATCACTTTCTGTTAAATGAGCCTTGTGTTCTTGTTAAACTAAAAGATTATTTTTACCCAACAGAGTGCGACAGGAACCGCTGTTCACAACAAAAACACATTTGTGATGCTGGCTTTGAGGTGAAAATCAGTGTCTCAAATGAAACCTGCTGCCCTACCTACACATGTGGTACAGTTCATATATTTGCAGTCTATATGTGTCATCTTAAAAATTAAACATAACTTTAAAACACTGATCCTTTTTTAAATGTTATTTTAATGCAGAGCCCAAAGGCGTGTGTGTCTACAATGCTACTGAGTACAGGGTAAGACCTGATACTGTATATAAGTACTGTGTGTTATATTTTTGTAAAGTAGCTGCTAGCAGTTTAAACATGGGTTTGACTCAAGTATTATGTTTTGTTGTACACAGCCAGGTACAGAGTTCCCCAAAAGCCTGTGTGAGCATTGCTACTGTACCCAACAACAGGATCCAAGCACCATGTTGAACATCATAAAGTGCAACAAGACTCAGTGTTCTGACACGTGTGATCTGGTACTTCTGCGTTTGTTCTGTTCAAGTTAAATACAAATAGATTAAATATTGAACACAATTCAATTTGTATGTCACACAGTAAATTTTAAGTAGCTTACTTTTACTTTATTTTTAGGCAAGTTCAATGTTCTGTGCATAACTATCCATGTGCTTTATTCATATGTAAATGATCACAGGTCTAAAATGTAAAACTCTGCATATTGAAAACATCTTTAAATTTGGATATTTATGTCCTGTACCAAAAACAATGACAGTACAAAAAAGTTTTAGTTTATCCATGTAATATCTGATGTCTTTCCATTTTGTTGGGTTATCACTTTGATTTTGTCTAGCTTCTTGTAATCAAATATATTTATGCTTTTGTTCAAGGGTTATAAGTATGTAGAGCAGCCTGGAGAATGCTGTGGATCATGTGTACAGCAAAGCTGTGTTTTTACAGTTCCAGGCATTTCTACCCCTATCGTTCTTCAGGTCAGTACATTACACAACAAAACGCTTCAAATGAGTCTATAACATGAATTAAGTTACAAATCAGAGTGCACATTTACTAAATGAGCACCTGTCATTTGACAGCCTTCAGAAACCTATTCGCCACCAAATGACAATTGCAACAAGTATGATTGCCAGAAAGAAAACGATAAATTCACACTGCGGACAAACCACACCACCTGTCCTCCATTTGATCAAGATAACTGCATTCCGGTGAGTATTATTAAGTCTTGAAAAGGTAGTTATTTTAATGATGAAGATGAACAGTGTGTTAAGCGATTTATTATATATAAATCTAAAAAGCAATTTAAGTAACTTACACTTTTCAGATCTGGAAAACATTACTATTGTGTTTTAATAATGATGGGTACTTTACTTGTTAAAATAAAGTGTGTTAACTCATGATATTTATCTGTTTTACAGGGAACAGAGAAAAGTGACATGAATGGATGTTGTCTAACATGTAAGTTTAGGACAATATAGGGGTCTTAGGCTTTCAACGTTTTGTGCATTTACGCAATGACTGCCATCAAAATACAATTTGAAAGTCTGAATTTGCCTCACCTCGCAGCTCTTGCCTCAAGGTAAAGTTTTCCCTTTGGTGTTCACAGGTACTCCACGTTACAGCTGTCAGATGAACAGGACCACCACCTACCTGAAAACAAACAATTGCACATCAGTTCAGCCAGTGGAGCTCACAGCCTGTGAGGGATCCTGTGGAGCGTCTTGGTCAATGTGAGAGTCACAAGAATTTGTCTAAAAAATATATATGAAGTAGAAAGTATTCAGCTATGCCAAAAATCACTTTAGTGTTGAAAACTGGCGCTTAACACTATCTGTATTTGCAGGTACTCAGCAGATTTCAACAGCATGATGCATTCATGTTCCTGCTGTGTGGAAATGACCACCAGCAAGAAGGAAGTGGAGATGCGCTGCACTGATGGCAGCACCATTAACCACACTTACATTTCTGTTGACAAGTGTGGCTGCCAGGTTACTAAATGTGAAGACAAAAACAAAGTTTAATGACAAAAGGAGACCTGAACATTTAATGTTTGTGGGGATAAAAAAAAATCAGTCTTTTTAAATTATGTCAAAAACTAATATAATTGTCAAAAACACAATTTATGCAACGAATTTATCCAAAAAATGGAAACTTTCAAAATGCAGACTTGTGCTGATGTCAAACATCCAAATCAAAGGGATTATTTAAGATTTTGCCATCTGTCATTTCCTCCTTGTCATTGCTTAAGTAACAATAAGTTGCTGTATCTCATATTTCATACTTCTACCTTCAGCTTTAATAAAGTTTCAATTGAATAATGCTTCCTGTGTTCTTTGTTTTACACTATTTTATTTATCTTCATCTTAATTTTATAGGAGAAGCTGAACTTTCATTATACAACAGTTATGCCCATTCGTGGTTCATGGATATGTAGACATGTGTAATAACTATGGTCTGAGTTGTGTGCATAAAGACATAAAGCAATGTATTTTAATACTTTGCTGAGCCATCGTACGTCTAATGAACAGTTTCATTGCTTCTTCACATTGGTTTAACCCTACTGAGAAGATAGAAGATTTTAAATTGAAGACAACAAATAAGGAGTCAGAGATGGAAATAAATTTTAGAAGAATGAAGGTGATCATTTGCAGCTTTAAGAGTTACAGAGGACACATTTAAAATAATTAGTTGTTTTGAAGTGAATACTAAAAATGACAGAATGTGTGTTATCTAATAATCAAGAAAGCTTTTTATTAATAAGACTGTAGATGAGTGTTTTAGTATAAGACATATTGTGTGACCTTTAGAAAATGAAGAATCAATAAAAAATGCTGTAATTTTAAGTTACAAGCTTAAACTGTAGATAAGAGCATCAAGCAGTCTGCAGTAACAGTGTCTTGAGGCAACCTGCAGGTACCTCAAGATGCATGACTGTGCACAAGAGACTGAGCTGTCAGGCATGAAGAAAGATAGGGGAAAAACCTGTTTGAACTGACAGAAGTTTTGCCAAAGCGGGCAGCAGTTCCAAATTTATGTGCGATGAAAAAGTCCCATCCAGAGCAGGTGCAAAAGGGAAGAGTCCAGCTGGGGCTTTTGAGAATCATTAGACCAGGCACTGTAGCAAGATAAATGAGGCCTTTAGTTAAATGGGAAAAACCTGCGCTTCGGCTAAAACTTCAAGAATCAAAGAGGGAAAAATCATATAGGCTCAGTTGTCACATGAAAGGCTAGGTACCAGCGTATTTATGACTGAACAATTCAAAATGACTGTGTGATCATATACAGTATCTATAAATGAAATAAACTGAACTGAAGTTAAGCTCGACGGGCCCTGCAGGGCCAGCAGATGGTGTCATTCATTGTTGTTTGCTAAAGTAGGTGTAAAACTTAATTTTTTCCCAATTTTTTTCTAAGTCCGTCACAAAAGGTGTCTTTAATGTTTTTAAAATGAGTCGCCAAATTATTTTTGGATAAATATTTATGATTTTAGAGTTATATAAACATTTGTAAGTTACTTGTACCGTCGCGGACAGTTTTAGTGTCAGGAAGTTCTCCGCATCTGTTGCTGTGCATGTTTTGGTTCCATACCCCGCCCTTTGGCATCTTTGAAAAGACAAAGCTCTCACGAATTCAGGGATGTATCTTGACACTGTGTTACTCTTTGTTTGGTGACGTGAAGTTTGTGCATAACCGAGAGTATGACAGCCCTCATGCGTAAAACGTAGAGGCAGAGGTTCCATTCAGTGATTTCATGGTGTGCACAATGGTAGATTTTGATGGTGCACAGTGTAAATGTAAAAAGAAAAGGTTATGTCATATGCAGAATGAGTCCTACAATAGAAATCAACACTTTTATTAGACCAGATTCTCTTTTATAAAGTAAAAAACCTATTTGGCCGTTTTGGGTACATTTGGCTAAATTGTGCCAAAATGCCATTTCCGCCTGGCTCACTGCTCACTCAAACCTTTGTGAAATGAATATACTTCAACTTAATCAGTCCTACTTTGCTACAATTTTTCTCAAAATGTAGATGCATAAAATCTAAGGGCATTCCTGGGTTTTCACAAGAATTTTCATTGTGTTTTGCACTGTTGATTTAAAAAAAATTAGGCGAGGCTAAAAAAATTACAAATTTTCTTAATTTAATCATAAATAACTCAGGCACAGTAAGAGCAATAATAGTGGTTTCACTTAAGAAATTATGTTTAAGATCTTACCTTTATAGAGGTACCAAGAGTTAGCATTTAGACCTTATAACTGTGGAGCTATTCTTGCTTAATTTTGCTGTGTATTTTCAGGCGGAAATTACCTCTAAAACCCCTTAGGGCTTAACAGGAATATATCTTTGATGTGCCGAACTGTGTGATAACACATAACTGAAACACCAACTGTGATACATTCATGAATTAAAACACACGGTTTGAAGTTAAAAATAAAACATAAAATTTTAAATATAAAAATTAGACATAAATTAGACAGTATTGTTTGTCTAGATCAGTCAACACGGGGTCCAGACTGCCTTGACTCAAAGGTTTATGGAATGTCAGCTGTTTTTGAGGCATAAAATAAACCTTTTAAAATTTGCATTGAAGCCTACTCTGTCATCATTTGAAACATTATTTTTGGTGATTTTTGCATTGAAATTAGGATTTACTCTTTAATTTTTCAGAAAGATAAACATTTAAACTAAAACTAAATAATAATTCTAAGTACTGTATTGGAAAAAAAATACAGTACTTAGTTTTACACTAGTTTTACAAAACCAAAAGTTCTTAAAATTTGACACTTTATTAAAAATTTTCTCTTTCCCAACAGTCAAAACTATTCTGACTATTCTCACTTTATGTAGCCTATTTTGTTAGTTTCCAAGCACAAAGACACAAAACATACAGAATCATGATTGTATCTTTCTCCTGAGTCATCTACCAGAGGTCTGGGAGTTTGACGGTTCTGCAAACTATTCCAGCTGTTCTAGGGCTGCACACTTCTGGACAGAGACCTCTGAGGTTGTTCCTGGGATCTGTTTGAACCATGCCTCCAGTTTGGGGGTCACAGCCCTGACTGCTCTGATAACCACTGACACCACTGAGGCCTTGACTCTCCAGCTTTTCATTCTCTTTTATCCTGACGTTGAGTCACTTGAGATTGTTACATCCATCACCACTGCTTTCACCTGTATCTTGTCAACCACCACAATGTCCAGTTGGTTAGCATCATCTGCTTTTCAATCTGGATCTGGAGATCTCACAGTATCTTAGTAGTCCATGAGCCATCTACAATAACTCTTTAGTTAAATGAGTTAAAACAACATCTAATTTCCCTCTGGGATCAATAAATCATTTCTGAGTTGAATTGAATCTTAGCCTTACTGTACTCCACAACTCTTTTTAAGATCTTCCTCTTTTGTCTGCCTGCATCCTACACCTCGTTATTATGTGTTAGACTGTCTCAAGGGTGTCTTTGGGTCTTATCTAGCATGGTGGACCCCAGTCTCTATTGCTCCTGTATTGAGGGCCTGCTCTGCCTGCTTGCTATTATTGGTGCCTCTATGCTGTCTTTCAGTCCAGCCTTCTCTAGTCACTAGTTGGATTTGTTGATAGCCACTTCCTCAATCTGCTGATGATGCCATGCAGGAATTTGGTTTAATGATGATTTGGCATTCTACTAGAAGCCCGGACCTATTTTATGGTCAAAGGTTTTTTTATTGCCAGTAACCAATGTGGGCGCAACTACATTGGTACAGTACCTGGCATTCCTAGGCGGTCTCCCATTCAAGTACTAACCAGACCCAACCCAAGCTTCTGAGATCAGATGAGATCTGACATGTTCAGGGTGGTATGGGCGCTCATAGTGGTATGGTGCAGAGGCTTATCTTTCCATAATGTAGTCCATGAGACAGAGGAAAGATTGTGCTTATTTGTAGGACAAGGGATGAAATTTAGCTACTGTGCTAACTCTTGCATATTTACACTGCCATGTATTGTGGTAATGTTGATTAATGTGTACTGTCCTAATAAATAACCTAATAATAATAATAATAAATGAACTAAAATATTTTGGTATAGGTGTTACAATAGACCCAAACTATTAACAAAAATATACACTCACAGGCCACTTTATTAGGTACACCTGTCCAACTGCTCATTAAGCAAATGTCGAATCAGCCAATCACATGGCAGCAACTCAATGCGTTTAGGCATGTAGACATGGCCAGACGATCTGCTGCAGTTCAAATTGAGCATCAGAATGGGGAAGAAAGGTGATTTAAGTGACTTTGAACGTGGCATGGTTGTTGGTGCCAGAAGGGCTGGTCTGAGTATTTCAGAAACTGCTGATCTACTGGGATTTTCACGCACAACCATTTCTAGGGTTTACAGAAAATGGTCTGAAAAAAAGAAAATATCCAGTGAGTGGCAGTCCTGTGAGCGCAAATGCCTTGTTGATGCCAGAGGTCAGAGGAGAATGGGCAGACTGGTTCGAGCTGATAGAACAGCAACAGTAACTCAAATAACAACTCACTACAACCGAGGTAGGCAGAAGAGCATCTCTGAACATAAAACACATCGAACCTTGAGGCGGATGGGCTACAGCAGCAGAAGACCACACCAGGTGCCCCTCCTGTCAGCTAAGAACAGGAAACTGAGGCTACARTTCAYACAGGCTCACCAAAACTGGACAATAGAAGATTGAAAAACGTTGCCTGGTCTGATGAGTCTGGATTTCTGCTGCAACATTCAGATTGGTAGGATCAGAATTTGGTGTCAACAACATGAAAGCATGGATCCATCCTGCCTTGTATCAACGGTTCAGGCTGGTGGTGGTGGTGTGTGGGGGATATATTTTCCTGCCACACTTTAGGTCCATTAATACCAATTGAGCATTGTGTTAACGCCACAAACTACCTGAGTATTGTTGCTGACCATGTCCATCCCTTTATGGCAACAGAGTACCATCTTCTGATGGCTACTTCCAGAAGGATATCACACCATATCATAAAGTTTTATACACAGGCCTTTAGATGTTTGTAATATCCAGTCATTTAAAAAGTAAGGAAATGCACTGACATATACTGTATTGTATAATGGTGATTCAAAAATTGACATTGATTCCAAGTGCTTACAATGTAATAAAAACAAGGTAAAAATGTAAAGTGGTAGTGACAGAATGTAATAAAAATATGAAAGTAGTTTTGATGGTGTACGGTGTTCCATGACTTGAATTAGGTGCCAAATGTCTTTAACTCTTATTTAAGGGGCCCAAAAACAACATTGGAATTCTTCTTTCTGGACATTAACTGGACAGTTAATAATTGAAGCCGA